TATTTATTTGACAGACAGAGATCACAAGTAGGCAGAGAGGTAGGCAGAGAGAGGAGGAAGAAGGCTCCCTGCTGAGCAGAGAGCCCAATGCGGGGCTCAATCCCAGGACCCTAAGATCATGGCCTGAACTGAAGGCAGAGGCTTTAACCCACTGAGCCACCCAGGCACCCCATCAGTAAAGTTCTTAATAGCAAAAAACAAAAGCAGGAATTTGCCGCTCTGCCACTCCTTTCTGGTCCAGGATTACATGTTGTGTTGAGTAGTTTAGGCTGTTTTGGTCTCAAACCATTCTTTAGTTTATCCTTGTCTCATTTTGTGTTTTCTGAGTTTCCCCTATGAATAGACTTAGGTTTTGCATTTTGGGAAGGAATATCACAGAAGTGAGAGATGCTGTGTTCTTCTTAGTGCATAATATCAGGAAGTGTCTGATGTTTTGTTTCCTGGTGATGTTAACCTTTATTAGTTTGTTAATATGGTCTATGCTGTGTTTCTCCACTATAAAGTTAAATATTTTGTACTTTTATTAATTAGTAATAAGTATTTTGGGAAGAGCTAATTTGAGACTCTCTCTCTAACCTATTCCTCATCCAACTTTGACCAGTGAGTTTAGCATCCATTCCTTCTTTTCTGCATCAATTCTTATTATCCCAGTTTTAGCCAGAGGAAACGCCCTTCAAATGACTTCTGTGTCCTTTTGATGTGTCCATATTGCAAATGGCATTGATTTTGGACTTTCTCTGGACAGATCCAGGAGATTTATACATATACATATACATATATATATATGTAATGGCTGTATATGAAATGTATATATATTTTACATATACATTTATATCTGTATATGTGTTTAGCTATATTTGTGTAATTATATAAAACTAAGTTTATACTGATGCCTCAATTCTACCAGTACCGTGGGCTTTATTCTACCCTTCTGCTTTTCCACATTTGTACCTTGCTTCTCCAGCTGTGTCAATGTGACTGCAGTTATCCTAGTACATTTACTTATTTGACCTGTATCCCTGTTGTAGCCAGTTTCCTGATCCATGGACCTTCTGTTTGACCATACACATGGGCTGACTTGCTCCTGGTTCCTGTGACTACATTTTAAAGTAACATTTAACTACATTTTATTTCTTCTTTTCCTTTATTGTCCAGGTCTTCCAAGATTTGCCAGCCAACCAGAACCTTCTTCAGTTTATGCTGGGAACAGTGCAGTTCTGAATTGTGAAGTTAATGTAGATTTGGTCCCATTTGTGAGGTGGGAACAGAACAGACGGCCTCTTCTTCTGGATGATAGGGTTATCAAACTTCCAAGTGGAACGCTGGTTATCAGCAACGCTACTGATGGAGATGGGGGACTTTATCGCTGTATAGTTGAAAGTGGTGGGCCTCCAAAGTATAGCGATGAAGCTGAATTGAAAGTTCTTCCAGGTATTTATTATCAGGACTTGTGGTTTTATGTTTATTAATGGATAAAAATTGTACTGTTAGAATTATCTCTTTTAATAAACACTGTTAAATATGTGGTGTGACAAATTAATGTCAGCATAAGAAGTCTCAGTTTCTCACAAGCAGAGAAAAGAAAAAGTGCCAGAAATGTTCACTCTTAGGAGGTGAATACATTAGTAGAAATTTATCAAGCGGTATATTTAATATCTATGGCATTCTTCTTGGCCAAAGACACACTAAGTCCGTGTTTTGTCTAGCCTCTCTATCTGTTCCTTCCCTGTAATGGGGTACTTCATATAGTTAGATCTCTTGTCAGAATCCGGACTCACTCAGGCTAGCTCATGGAGGGGATGGGCAGAGTAGTAAGTGATACAGCAGCTCTGGAAGACACCGGTAAGCAAGGTTCTCAGATCTTTATAGTGCTCCCCATTTTAATGTAAACTCAGCCCCTTCCTCCTTCTGTTTGTGGGTTCTCACTCTTTCTGCCCCTGCTGACTCTCCTTCTCTGTTTCATGTGTCTTTTCTCAGCTGTGTACCTTCTGCTTACTCACAACTTCCTCTCACGTGTTGCTCACATGACAGCCTATAGCTGTCTCCTGGCCTTTCAGCTTCCGTTCCCACTGCTGGGTGCCAGATTCCATATTTCTTCCTTCAAACCAGAGTTTATGAATATAATGGGGCCATCTTTACATTGTTTGGGCAAACTTTCTTTTTTAAATATTTTATTTATTTATTTGACAGACAGAGATCACAAGTAGGCAGAGAGGCAGGCAGAGAGAGAGGAGGAAGCAGGCTCCCCGCTGAGCAGAGAGTCCGATGAGGGGCTTTATCGCAGGACCCTGGGATCATGACCTGAGCCGAAGGCAGAGGCTTTAACCCACTGAGCCACCCAGGCGCCCCAAGGGCAAACTTTTTTTTATAAACATCTACTTCATAGGCTCATTTTTAGTCTATGGCTTGGCTTACAAGGTGAGCCTAGTGTTGTGAGCAGTGATGCCTGAGGGTGTTCCTGATGGGCTTTGAACTGATTTTTTTTTTTTTTAATGTAGTTTCTTTCTTTGTCATCATTGTCCATGCCTTTGTCATTCCTGTCCCTGTGTGTTTTCAGCTTGGCAGCCACAATTATTTTTTAAAATGTTTATTAGATTGTAAAATAAAGTGTATATTAGATCATGTTACATCTTTGCTCAAAACCTGATGGTTTCTCATCTTAGAGTAAACATTAAAGTCCTTGGCCTGTCAGGCTTTGTATAATCTTTTTTTTTTTTTTTTAAGATTTTTTATTTATTTATTTGACAGAGAGAGATCACAAGTAGATGGAGAGGCAGGCAGAGAGAGAGAGAGAGGGAAGCAGGCTTCCTGCTGAGCAGAGAGCCCGATGCGGGACTCGATCCCAGGACCCTGAGATCATGACCTGAGCCCAAGGCAGCGGCCCCAGCTTTGTATAATCTTAATGCCACCTCCCTCCCTATCTTTCTCCTTCCATCTGGTACTCTGCTCTCCCTCACTCTGTGATTGTGGCCACATTATATTTCTAGAACACTCCAGACATTAGTAGAAGACAGTATCTTCTACTCGCCTTTTGCTCTGCCTGGAATCCTCTTCCTCAGATATCTGCCTGACACAACCGTCTTATTTCTCTGCTCAAATATCACTTCATTGTTAAACCTTCCTTGGCCACTGTTTAAAACAATAGTCTTCCATATCTCTCCTGGTACTTTCTTCTTTCCCTCTTAATTTTATTTCAGAACATATCCATTGTCTGATACACAATGTCTTTTATTTCTTGTCTCTCTCCCCCAGTGGTATATAAGGTCAGCAAGGGTAGGGAGTTTTGTCAACTGCCACGAGTGGTAACTGGCACATAGAAGCCAGTAAATATTTGTTCAAATTTATTTGTTTCCATCAAAATATGATTAAATTTAGCTAAATCCCGATGGAAAAAAAGGAAACTATTGCCATATTGCAGTGTCCCCCAGCCCACTTCCTGACTTGCTTATGTATGGCAGAGGTCCTATTTCTTCTCTGTACCTGGGGTACCATTCAAAGAAATCCTCAAAACCAGATCCAGGGAAATAAGGTTTTCAGTGTCAGAGGATGAACCACCACTCCATATCTGAAACAAAACCAAATTACTGAATGTTTTATTTACTTCAGTGAGTGAAAACCATAGTTATTAAGCATTGCTTTCTTAATGCAAACTGCTGATCGCATAAAGAATTTGGGGGAAGACGTATATGGTGTGTTGGTTAAGGAGCAAGAGTGGGTTGATTGTGGGGCACCTGGGTGGCTCAGTGAGTTAAGCCGCTGCCTTCAGCTCAGGTCATGACCTCAGGGTCCTGGGATCGAGTCCCGCATCGGGCGCTCTGCTCAGCGGAGAGCCTGCTTCCCCCCCTCCCCCCTGCCTGCCTCTCTGCCTACTTGTGATCTGTCCCTGTCAAATAAAAAAAAAAAATCTTAAAAAAAAAAAAAAAAAAAGAGTGGGTTGATTGTCAGCCATAGAAGCATGTTTTATGGTTGGTTACAGATGTGAGAGCAAGTTAATGTCCACTATAGAAGCAAGTGATTCCACTGCTGAATGACGGACTTTTAAAGCCTGAAGCTGTCACTCATTGGCTGGCTTTCAAAGGCTTGTTCGCTGAAGCGAGCTGTCACTCATCCATTAGACAATGTTCTCTTGTTACCGTGGCTACAGAACTGTCATTCATTAGTTACACATGTTTAAAGCCAGGCCTGGTGGTTGTTACCATGGCTGTAGAACACCTTTTTCTGAGAGTATGGGGACAAGAGTCCTACCTCTTTAACTGAGAATGGACTTTTTCCCTCAAAACTGAACCCTGGAAATACCACTCCGTCAAGTAGAGAACCCTGTCTTCTAGCCATCGGAGTGTGGCCTTCTCAGATGTTCATTAGGGGAGTAGTTGTATAAAGTGAACACACACAGTGGCAGCCTAATAGTCGTACCATTATAAAAATCAAGGGATTGACAGACTAAGTGAGTGAGTTAAAGAGATGAAACTCAAGAAAGATTTTCAGAAATAACACACAGATGTAGGGATGGAAAGGAAGCCTCTTATGAAATCCCTGTGAATGGAGAGGGTGCTGTTAAGGATCCTGAGCTTGCACAGTCTTTTCTGTCTTTGTACCACTCATGAAACATTTACTTCATTCAATGTTTTTAATGTGAAGGGGATTCTTGTTAAATATCCCTCAGTTGATCAGTAAGCACCCTGAAGTTAGGAGCTACAACTTCTACATCCTTGAGGTCCCCAGAGAGCCTAGCACAGTGCTTTAAGTGACTAAGGAGATGTTTGCTAATTTATTTTTTAAGATTTATTTATTTAATTGGGGGGGGAGGGAGGAGGAGAGAGAGAATCTCGAGGAGATTCACTGCTGAGCTCAGAGCCTAAAGCAGGGCCCAATCTCACGACCCTGAGATCATGACCTGAGCCAAAATCAAGAGTCAGATGCTTACCCAACTGAGCCACCCAGGCACCCTGAAATATTTGCCAATTTAAATGGACCTTTTTTTTTTTTTTTTTAAAGATTTTATTTATTTATTTGACAGAGATCACAAGTAGGCAGAGAGAGGAAGGGAAGCAGGCTCCCTGCTGAGCAGAGAGCCCGATGCGGGGCTCAATCCCAGGACCCTGGGATCATGACCCGAGCTGAAGGCAGAGGCTTTAACCCACTGAGCCACCCAGGCACCCCTTAAATGGACTTTTTTTCTGTCACTTTTGCTTAAGATATTTTGTTACGCAAAACCACATAGGGTGCCTGGGTGGCTTAGCTGGTAAAGTGTGCAACCCTTGATCTTGGGGTCATGAGTTCAAGCCCCACATTGGGGATAGAGTCTACTTAAAATAAAATAATAAAGCCACACAGACTGAACAGGAATTTGCCATCCTTCATCATTAAAGTAGTAAAGTGTGTTCTTAATTATTGTCTTTCATTTTTTTAAATTTTTTAGATCCTGAGTTCACTTCAAACTTGGTATTTTTGAAACAACCTTCTTCCTTAGTCAGAGTCATTGGTCAGAGTGTGGTGTTACCGTGTGTTGCTTCGGGACTTCCTACTCCAACCATTAGATGGATGAAAAATGAGGAGGCACTGGACACAGAAAGGTAATGTCTGCCTAAAAGCCTTTTCAGCCTTGGCTTGAGAGTTGGTCTAATCTAATTGGGGACTACTGATTAATAATGAAAAAAAAAAAGATTATCTATTTTTATTTAAGCACATTATAATGCTCATTTATCATTCTTGAAATAGTTTATATGGTATATATGATTAGGATGTTTAAAGAAAAAATTGCTTTCAAAATTTCAAAATAAGGAGTAATTATTCTGTTTGTTCTTTCTAAGCTACAGGATACTTAGCTTAAGGCCTCAAGACCTCCTTCCCTAAATTGTTGCAGGAGTTTCTGGTCCTGACTAGCCTGACTTCTCATTCCTTTTCATGTGCTTTTTTGTTCACAATAGTTTTTTCCTTTATTCTAACAATAAAAGAGAATGCATTCCTCATCCTTCTGTTTTTGCCTTTTAAAATCATACCAGCCTTCTTCTATGATCATAAATCCTTCCTCTTCCACAAAAGCCATTTCTCTTAACGTCAGCCATCCTGTCATCCATCCCTCATTACTTCCGTGTGTAATGGATACTTGACATATGTAATGGGTGCTTTTCTCTGTTGTATTCTGATAAAAGAAACTAGGTGGTGGTGGTGGTATTTAGGTATATTTTGTTTCCAAAGCAAAGTCATTTTGTGTGTTGCAGGATGTTCAGTATCTTCCTTGGCCTTTATCCACTATATGCTAGTAGCTCTCCCAAGTTGTGACAACCGAAAATGTTTCTAGATGTTGACAGATGTCCCGTTGGGGGACAGAATGGACCCCAGTTGAGGACCATTGTTGCAAAGCAGTGCTGTCCAATAGAAATCTGATGCAGCCGTGTATCTAATTTAAAATTTTTGGTAGCTAGATTAAAAATGAAAACCAAGATGTAACCCCCCAGTACTAAATACAATAGTAATAATTTATATGATGCACCAGTTAAAGTGAAATGTAGTTCTACCAAAACAATAAAGTTGTGGTTAGTGTTGCTTCAGCTTTTACATTTAAATAAAAATTAAATAAAATTCAGAGTTCAGTCTTCAGTCTTTCTAGCCACATTTCAATTGTCAGAGATCACCCGTGGCTAGTGGCTGTTGATTTGGACTGAGCAGGTCTAAAGATTCCCAACTGAGTAATCCAAAGTAAGCAGACAGTCTTAATTTGTGTACTGAAGTAACCAAGACCTGGGAAAGGGTTAACTCTCTAGTTAGCTTGGTGATCAACCTTCAGTGATAGGTGGGAATGATAGAACGCACTAAGGTGTTTCATTAGCAAAACTGATGGTATCATCTCTAGTATCACCTTTTCTTTCTCAGCACCCACCCAGTCACCAACTACTTCTGCTATATTTTACTTTCTTTCTTCCCACTCCTTTCCCCAGCTAAATATTATGCAAAGAATTTATAAGACTTCTAGGGAATATTTAAAACTTGTGCTAACTGAAACATAGGGAACCTTTAAAAAGGGGATAAAAATTTGAAGCTCTCTTACGGTAGAAATTTATTTTTTTATTTTTTTAAAAGATTTTATTTTTTTGACAGAGATCACAAGTAGGCAGAGAGGCAGGCAGAGAGAGGGGGAAACAGGCTCCTTGCTGAGCAGAGAGCCCAATGCGGGGCTCCATCCCAGGACCCTGGGATCATGACCTGAGACGAAGGCAGAGGCTTAACCTACTGAGCCACTCAGGCGTCCCTAGGGTAGAAATTTAAATTGGCTACATGTTAGAACAAAATCTTTATCAGGAGTAGGAAAGCTGAGCCTCCTGGGTGTCTCAGTTGGTTAAAGGTCCAACCCTTGACTTCTGTTCAGGGCATGATCTCAGGGTGATGAGATCCAGCCCTGCCTTGAGCTCCACACCCAGTAGGGAGTCTGTTTGGGATTTTTTCTCTCTCCCCCTTTTCCTCCCCTCCTGCCCCGCCCCCTTCCCCTGCTTGTACACAGTGTTCTCTCTCTCTCTCTCAAATAAATACATCTTTAAATTACTTTTTAATTAAATTTTATTTATTTGATTGAATGCAAGTGGGGAGAGGAGCAGAAGGGGAGGGAGAGGAACAATTAGATGCTGCACTGAGTGCGGATGCTGACATGGGGCTCGATCTCAGGACTCTGAGATCATGACCTGAGCCTAAACCAAGAGTAGGTTACTTAACCACCTGAGCCACCCAGGTGCCCCAGAAATAAATAAATCTTAAAAAAAAAAAAAAAAAGAGTAGGAAAGCTGAAATAGGTTCTTTTTAAAGTTTTTGTATTTTATCATCATAGAAGGGAATTGTGAAAATAAGCAGATCACAGGTGCTGCAGAGGGTAGGGAGCCCTGATCATGGAGAGAGGTGAGAGAGAGAGAGAGGAGTACACAGGAGATCACACAAGGAAAATTCTTCCCCCAAGTGGGAAAACTAGAGGGGCTGATTTTTGTGAGTTTTTAACAACGAATGAGGCTCAAAGATTGGAGTTTTAGAGGGCCGTGGCATGGTTGGTATGGAGCCCTGAGGGCATTGCAGTGCTTCTGTGGAGGAGGAGGACAGATAGGCCAGGGGCAGATGGTGAAATCTGAGAGTGCACTGGGAGAGATGATTCCCCCTTCTTGGAGTGCATCTGGAAGAGATGGCATTGACTCTCGGGGAACAAAAGAGCCACTTTCCATGCCCCTCAGCATAGGTGCGGAGCTACCTGCAGAGGGTGGCTAATTTGGATACTGGCTCTTCACTGTGCTTCTCTCCAAACACCACACCCCTGTGCTTTTTGTATAGCTGCCCTTCTGGGACAAACCTGAATCAGTCCCAATGCAGTGAGACCCTCCTCTAGAGGACCAATGGGGGCCTCTATCATGTCAGGTCCCAGATATTTGGAGTTTTAAAACTCAGCCTGCCTGAGATAGAACATGGGTTCACTGAGCTGCCAGGCAGGCAGATGGCCCAGACACAGATAGGATGAAGGCAGTGAACTGAAAGACACCTGGGACATATGAGGGAAGATTGTTCACTCTTCTGGGAGGGCATTCCAGGCAGCAGTGGTTGAGAACTCACCTCTCCAGGGACAAGGGAGGGCACTGGTACCATTTCTCTCCCCTACTTCTCAGCATAAACTAACTTCAATAAGTAGCATAGCGCCAGCATTGTCAGCCTAATCCAAGCAGCCTACACCAAGTCCCACCCCACTGTACTCTGCAGGTGCTGCTTTTCATAGGCAAGTGTGCCTGAGAACCAGAGCAGCAGCACTCCCCCCTAGAATACCAGCATAAAACCCCTGCATGCACCAGGTCTACTGACTATAGAGCTCTGCAAAGCTTCAGCTCTAGTGGAAATAGCATTAGGTCTCTCTTAATAAGCAGACAAATCAGAGCACACCTAGTTAAAAACCACCACACTCTGGCCAAGGTCCAAACACTTCCCACTGCAGGCAAGGAGAAATTCTGCAGAGGACTGACCTGAGGGAAAAAGCAGCCAAAACATAGCAGCAGAGTGCATATAGCATACACCAGAAACATTTCCTGAAACACCAGGCCCTGGACAGTATATGACCTCTTCCTCATAAAGCCATTAATCTCAGCAGCAGGAAACAGAACATTCTGGCTTTCCTAACACACAGAAGACAGACACCTAGACATAATGCCAAGATGGAAGAATTCATGCCAAAAGAAAGAACAAGAAGAGGTCATGGCCAGGGATCTAATCAAAACAGATAGAAATAATATGCCTGATCCAGAATTTAAAGCAACAATCATAATGCTACTAGTTGGGCTTACCAAAAGCATAGAAGATACCAGGGAGTCCCTTTCACAGAGATAAAAGACATTAAAACTAGTCAAGCTATAATAAAAAAAAATGCTATAACCAAGTTGCAAAACCATCTGGATATAATGACAACAAAGAAGGAAGAAGCAAAGGAATGAGTAAGTGGTACAGAAGATAAAATTATGGAAAATAATGAAGCTTAAAAGAAGAGGGAAAAAAATATGGTATCGCAAATGTAGACTTAGGGGACATGGTGACTCCATAAAGCATAATAAAAATAAAAGCATAATAACATTTATATTATAGGAGTCTTAGAAGAAGAAGAGGAAAAAAGGAGTGGAGGGTTTATTTGGGGGAAATTATAGCTGAAAACTTAGCTAACATGGGAAAGAAAACAGACATCTGAATCCAGGAGGCACAGAGACCTCTCATCAAAATCAACAAAAGCAGGCCAACACCCAGATGTATTGTAGTTAAATTTGCAAAATACAGAGATAAAGAAAAAAATCCCAAGAGCAGCAAGATAAGAGAAGTCCCTAACTTATAGTAGAAGACAAATAAGGTTAAGTGCAGATTTCTCCACAGAAACTTAGCAGGCTGGAAGAGAGTGGCATGATATATTCAGTGTGCTGAATGGAAAAATATGCAGATAAGAATACTTTATCCAGCAAAGCTGTCATTGAGAATAGGAGAGATAAAGAGTTTCCCAGACAGACAAAAACTAAGGGAATCCATGACCATTAAACCAGCACTGCAAGAAATATTAAAGGGGCCTTTTTGAATGGGAAAGAAGGACCAAAATCTTCAGAGACTAGAAAGAAACAGAAAATCTCCAGAAATGACAGAACAAGCACTAAATTCATATCTGTCAATAATCACTCTGAATGGGGGTATGGAGAGGGTGGTCGGATTATGAACATTGGGGAGGGTATGTGATATGGTGAGTGCTGTGAAGTGTGTAAGCCTGATGATTCACAGACCTGTACCCCTGGGGCGAATAACACATTATATGTTGATAAAAATAATTAATAAAAAAATCACTCTGAATGTAAATGGACAAAAAGCACCAATCAAAAGACATAGGGTGTCAGAAATGGGAAAAATTGCTATATGCTGCCTACAAGAGACTTATTTTAGACCTAATGACAGGAGCAGATTGAAAGTGAGGGGATAGAGAACTATTTATCGTGCTAAGGGACATCAAAAGAAAGCCAGAGTAGCAGTACTTATGTCATACAAACTAGATTTTAAGCTGAAGACTGTAACAGGAGATGAAGAAGGG